AAAAAAAAAATGCTTGCAGGCAGGGTGATTCAAGCCTCTAGCATTTTCCCAGCCTTCGTGAATTTCCAGGGCTGAACTTGGGTCTTCTGGAGGGTTATCCAGGGAAGACCCAATCAAGGAATATGGGCTTCTCCTCTTGTTCTTGGATTTACAACTATGTGCTCCAGGGCTATCCTGGGACTTCCTGCACCCTTCCCTGTGATCTGTTTCCTTCCCTGTGACCTGGTCCCTGCTGGTTGATTTCACCTTACCCTGCACACCCAAGTCTAGGAGGTGGATATTTTGTGCTAATCTGTCAGCAAACCCAGATTGTCCAGTATCCCAGGACCCCCTGAGGAACCACAGCTAGAATCTTACTCAAACCTGGGATCAGTCCCCAGCCTCCATGTCAGACCCAATAGAAAGGTGATTCCTTCATCTCAGGGACTACCTCCTACCTCTTGAGCCCGAGTAATCTGGGCAGTCTCAATCCTCGAGATGATGGATTTCACTGAGTCAGGAGTCACCAACACTGGGGGGTCATCCTTCTCCATTTTGAATCACTCTGTCAGTCATAAGATGTCCCGTGTCTCCGGTCCACAGGCCTGCACACACGACCTTTGTTGCTTTGAAAGTTAAGGGCCCCAGGGTGGTTCCTGGGTACCCGCTGCTCAGCCACAGTTCCTCCGGTAACTGCCAAACACTGGGTTCCAACTGACCTTCATTTCCCCAGTGACATCTTCAGTTTGATTAGAGAAATTAGAAGATTAGATTCTCTATCAGAGAGAGTCATCTCTCTGCCTGGTTATCTAACTTTTTATCCATTACATAATTATATTTACTTGACCTGTTGTTTTTAAACATTATTATTATATGAGGCCAAGCCAGGAGGATCACTGGAGGCCAGAAATTTGAGACCAGCCTAGGTAATGTAGCAAGACCCCATCCTTAAAAAAATTTAAAAATTAGCTAGGCATAGTCATGAACACCCATAGTCCTGGCTACCCAGGAGGCTGAAGCAGGAGGAACACTTGAGCACAGGAGTTGGAGGTTGTAGAGCTATGATCATGCCATTATACTCCAGCCTGGGAGACAGAGAGAGACCCCGTATCAAATTTTAAAAAATTGAAATTGCTGGGCAGGGTAGCTCACACCTGTAATACCTGTAATCCCAGTACTTGGAAGCCTGAGGCAAGAGAATCTCTTAAACCCAAGAGTTTGAGGTTGCTGTGAGCTAAGATGCTATGGCACTCTACCAAGGGTGACCAAGTGACATTCTGTCTCAAAAAAAAAAATTTAAATTTTAAATGTTATTTTCCCAAATTAAGCATTAGTGGCTAATAATAAGAAAAAGCAATTGGAAAAAGTTGCTTTCCCAAAGAGAACTTTTGACATTTTTAGAAATTAGAGCCAATCAATAATTAAATGGAAATGTGTTTCTATTTGCCCTGAGGATCCAGGCTCAATCAGCACTTCCATGTAGTTAGTCATGGCAAGAGACTTTTCTTTTTTTGAGACACAGTCTCAATCGGTCACCCAGGCTAGAGTGCTATGGTGTCAGCGTAGCTCATAGCAACCTCAAACTCCTGGGTTTGAATGATTCTCCTTCCTCAGCCTCCTGAATAGCTGGGACTGTAGGCACCCACCACATCGCCCAGCTAATTTTTCTTTTTCTTTTCTTTTCTTTTTTTTTTTTTTTGAGACAAAGCCTCAAGCTGTTGCCCTGGGTAGAATGCCCGGCGTCACAGCTCACAGCAACCTCTAACTCTTGGACTTAAGTGATTCTCTTGTCTCAGCCTCCCAAGTAGCTGGGACTACAGACACCTGCCACAACGCCCGGCTATTTTTTGGTTGTAGTTGTCATTGTTTGGCAGGCCTGGGCTGGATTTGAACCCCCCAGCTCTGGTGTATGTGGCTGGTGCCTTAGCTGTTTGAGCTATAGGTGCCAAGCCTAATTTTTCTATTTTTAGTAGAGATAGAGTCTCACTCTTGCCCAGGCTGGTCTCGAACCCCTAAGCTCAAGGGATCCTCCTGCCTTAGCCTTCTAGAGTGCCAGGATTATAGGCATAAACCACTATGCCCAATCTCTTCCTCCTTTCTCTTTGGTAACTATTTTCTATTCTCCTACCCTTTTCCTCTGGGGTTGAAATGAACCCTCTTCCATACATTAGTTTTTCCCTTTTTTTTTTCTTTTTTGAGACAGAGTCTCACTTTGTTGCCCTCAGTAGAGTACTGTAGCATCACAGCTCACAGCAACCTCAAACTCCTGGGCTCCTCAGCCTCCCAAGTAGCTGGGATGACAGGCACCCACCAAAATGCCCAGCTATTTTTTGGTTGCAGTTGTCATTGTTGTTTGATGGCACGGGCTAGATTTGACCCCGACAGCTCCAATGTATGCAGCTGGCACCCTAGCCACTGAGCTACAGGTGCCGAGCCCAGACATCAGTTTTTCTATGCCCCTCTCCCATGGGCAGCTTCATGGCCAGCTGCAACAACTTCACCACAATTTGAAGGCCACACTCAGGTGATCACTAGCCCAGAAGAGATGTTTACAAACTTTAAAAAAAACCAGCTGATCCCCAAAAGCAAAGTTTTATGCAGAACTGCATTATCTAACAAATAAATACAGTATTTTATTGGTATACTATATTATACCAGTATTATGTTTATATTATAAGTATATTATATTATACTTATAAGTTTAACTTCATAACATCTTTTGTTTTATAAGTAATTTAATATGGTTTTTTTTTTTTT